CACTCACCTGCCTACGGGGGCTGGAGTTCCCCAGGAGGTAGGTCCTGGTCACCAGGTTGTCCCCAAGGCCGATGCTGCCAGAGTCACCGATGCTGCGGTAGCTGCGGGTGACGGTCACGCTGGAAGTGGACGAGCCCGAGGACACGGTGTTGATACCGGCGTTCTGGCTGCCTGACTTGTCGGCCGGCTGACCACACGTGCCGCAGACCACCGTGCGCGAGCGGAGGTTGTATTCGCCGGGGTCCCCAGAGCCACTGCAGCTACCCTGGATGTGAGGGTGGGGGGAACACAGAGAAAACAACCCTGAGCACCTCCCCGAGCATCTTCTACCCTGAGCGCCCTGCCCTGGGGACCGATGTGACCCAGGAGGGCTCTTCAAGTTAGTCTTCAAAGAGGGTCCGCACTCCACCCATCCTATCGCGCGGTTTAAAAATAATAAAATATTATTTCCATTGCTGCTATTATTATCATTATTATCCCAAATTACTGGGGCTGGCACACTGCAGATGGGTGAACTGTCCCTGCAGCCCTGTCCTTGCACCACAGGGTCTCAGCACGCAGGAGACATCTTAACTGTGCTTCTCTAGTGCTTGTCTAAGAGCATCCTCTTCCTCACTGCCTGGGAGAGCGCGAGCTGCTTTCCAACGGGAAATTTGCCCTTGGAAAGGATTCTGCTCCCAGACAAATGGGCAGCACTGGTCCTGCAGATGCTTGGCTCCTCCGTCCAAGGATAATCAATGTCCGTCTCGGCACGGCTCTTCAGATCCAGAGAACTCAAAGGAAAGCGGACGATGGATGCCCCATCTTGCTCCTGTCACAGAGCTCCGGGGACCGGCATCGGGCAGATTTTTCGCCAGCGTTGAGGCACGGCGTGGCAGCGATGGCATCTCTCCTTGCGGGATTCCTGCGGGCATCTCATCTGCAAGACGGATCTCTCCCTGTGGGACGGGCTGGCCGGGGCTCCTGGGCTGCAGACGGGGACGTTTGCTGTGCTACAGGGAGAAGCGGCTGCAGCTGTGCTCCTGGCACACTGCCTGCTCTCTGCCTGCTGCCTGCTCGCTGCCTGCTGCCTGCTCGCTGCCCACTGCTCTTCCTGGTGCATGTTTCAGCTCCACGAGGGGAGCGATGGGCTGAGAGGAAGGACAAAGTCACCTCTGGATTTGTTCCAGTGCCCTCGCGAAGTGGAGCAGCTGCCGCGGAGAAGTGTCGTCCATCAACTTCCCACCATCCTGTCCTCCACCTCCAAGTGACGTGAGGCACCAGCTCAGCCTCCCTCCTGGCTCCTCCAGCCCTTTTTGCAGCAGGTCAAGGTTGCTCAGTGTTGGAGATAACTTCCACCAAGGTCTCTGGAGCTTTTTTGGCAAGCAGTAATCTTCTCCAGGTGCCAGAGGTCTGTTGGCTTCTCCTAAGTGTTGTTTCCGTGGCGGCTTCCCAACTGCCTTCTCCCGCAAGGCCTGATCCTGTGCGATGATGAGCTGCCCCCCACCCTGACGGACCGGACCCCAGCTCCCCCAGCATCCCTGCAACAGCCCCCAGGGACCAGCACCCTCCCCAGCACGGCGCTCACATGGTGATGGCGGTGGTGCATGTTGACTTCATCATCATCCTCATCCTCATCTTCGTCGTTGATGATCACGGTGCGGACCAGTTTCCGCATGGCCACCTCCTGCGGGGGACAGGAAAAGGAGTTGGGGGGGTTTGGTGTCCGCTGCCCCCCGCCCGTGCCCCGACCCGGCGCTGTCGTTGTGCTCTCACCTCTCCGCTGGAGTTGATGAGGGCAGTGCGCAGGCTGTCCCCGGAGCCCCAGCTGTTCTGGGCTCTCCACACCATGTTGGTGGGGGGGCTATGGGCCACCCCAGCCCCTGAGGCCCAGATCTAGGGAGAAAAGCACAGAGAAAAGCAACACCTCAGGTCTGCAGAGCCCAGACCTCGAGGATGTGGTGCTCTTCCCCCCCAAAAAAGCCACGCGCCAAGGAGCCTGTGCCCTGGCTCCAGCTGCTCCGCATCACCAGCGGCCCGGCCGGGTTTGGGATCTCGGCTGGATCCTTCGCCGGGCAGTGACTCACCGTGACCACCTGGCCGGC